AATCTTTGCCTTACTAAATAGATGAGTCTACAATATACTAAAAATAATAGACATCGAAAAGATTAGACAGACCCCTACGCAAGGTAGAAAGTATATTAAGTTGAATATTTATTAAAGAAATATGTATTAAATCTTCGCTTTACTAAACAAGTAGGAGCATTTAAAGTACGTATTATCTGTTTCTGCAATAGATATTAGCTAAATAATAGGCGGGGGGAGGGGCTCCGTCCCCCCGCAAAAAATAATGACAAGTAAAGTGATTATATCGGGAATGATCAACTGCAAAATCTTATTAAAATTTATATAAATCTTATTGTTAGTAAAATTAAGCGAAACAAATATTTTTGCATATTTGTACAACAACATCATTTTTCAATTTTGGTGATACATAAAGCAATAGAACTGAATCAAATTCGATTTACTACATCCAGGATTCCTTTTTGATTGTCATTGAAGGTATTTGTCCACGGCTTGCCGTGTAACAAATTGGATGACGTACGATCCGTGGACCGTAGGCACGCGAGCCTACAACGACGTGCAAGTTGTGCGTAGAATGCACCGTGCGGTGCGATTGAAACTCTGCGAATGCGACAATGAAGAGATAGATATGGCCAGTAAAATTCGAAATCCATGGTGTCCGGACAGAGAAACAATTTTAGAAGACTTTTCTTCATGTCCAGCTCTAATGGGAAATGGTCTAAGTATCCATCAAATAATTTCGCCCAAAGGATTAAATCAAGCTGACATGGCAGCCACGCAATTCGCTTTTCTCGGGTTAATTGTGTTGTACCCTCACGAACTCGGCATTCATGCTAGCGATGAAGATATGGCAGCCTTTTGTCATACATGGAGAGGTCTAGGATATCTTCTTGGCATGGAGGACCAGTACGTATCGGTGCGCCGTACAAATTCATTCATTAAATAATAACGTCTTCAACATTAATAATAAGGTTGTGATATATACATATAATATAATTTATTAATGACAGCTTTTCGAGTCTTCTTTTTTTTAAAACGTTTTCTTTTGATAAATTCATGATATATTAAAATTATAAATTTATTTACGTTAATCTGACTTTACTCAATGCATACTTTTGCTTCCGATTTGTCTCTTCCGTCTTAATTTTATATAACTGAATATATTATATATTTGTGTGACAAACTCTTTCAACGCTTGAGCATTTTCCTTACTTGTCATCTATGTCTCTCATTAAAAATTAGAATCTTATTAGAATTCTTGCACTTGACGAAAATAAATGTCCCAGATATAATTTCTGCCGCGGCAGTCTGAAGGAGATTGAGCAAAGATCGCGCGACTTCATGGAATTTTTTATGATACCCAATTTGTCGAGAGTAACGCCCGAATGGGAACATATGTTGAGATGCTTTGCGGAAGGTTCATCTTACTTTGGTAGTATTTTGCCTTTCAAGGTATTGCTATTGATCGTCACCGATTTATTGAACATCGGTATGCCACGTATGCGAAGTACGCTCACTTATTTTGAACGGTTA